AGGTTCCAGTCACCAGAAGAAGTAGTTGACGCATTCAAAAATGCCGTTTTGGATCAGCCAGCAAACGAGTGGAATAAGTGCTTCGAACATTGGTTCGAGCGCATGCAGATGTATATTAATATTCGTGGAGAATACTTCGAAAAACAATAAAGTTATTTAAAACTACCTACTGTGTTGTTTAGTCATGGGAGACATTTTCAATTTAAATTTTATTTACAGTGTGTTTTAGATGTCTCTAACATGAATCATGGTTGCTGGTAGCCCAGTGCAAGTTTTATCATTTTTTTTTGAACAAATTGAAAAAGTTGATTTAGATTTTTGGATCATCCTGAACAAAAAAACGTGACCAGTAAGTAGTTGTAAGCATTATAAACTCTGACAAACCTTAGACATGGCCAGCATCATTATACAAAAATCTTTTAAAACTTGTTTTTTGAAATTTGTTTAAAATAATTCTTTAAATAAGGGACCAGGCACAACAAATGGAAAATGGGTCCCAGTCTATTTGTCAACAATTCAGTATGATATACAATTTCTTGCCTTCATATAAAAGTACCCATGGGACCAAAGCAATCCTATTAGTAAGAAACAAGCCGATAAAGTTTGCCTGATTTGGAATCAAAATGGTGAATGTGCTGTTTGTAGGAATTGGGAGGTGTCATGTGACCTTACGAGGTCAGTTTCAAGGCAAGTTAAATTACATAATATGTTTATGCTGGAATAGATCTGACATGTGTTGCTCGAGAATTCAGAACACTCATTAGGACAGGTAGCTTTTCATGGGTACAGAAAAGTTGTGGATGTTTACTTGCCTTTGATTAAGACGTTTACAGGGTCATGTTGATTTTGAAGCTGGAAGTAAAAAAAGTGCAAAAGTGCACTAATGCGAACATGGCTTCAGGGTATTGTATTTTATTGACTCTTAATTTGAGTTCTTTTGTTGTGGACTGCTTCTATCATATTGAATGGTTTGAGTCAAATTTTTCAAAGAATAACCAAACTCGAGTATCCTGGAGAGCATGTCAAAAAACCACATATGCCTAGGGTTCGGGTATTACAGTTACATCTACAGCAACCATTGCTAGGTTATCATGTAAATCCACGTTACTTTCATAAACGTGTCATGCTAGACCGGCGGTCGCCTCTTGCGCCATTGCTAACAGCTGATGCGCTTATCTACCTTCCATAATAATCAGAGGATGGTATCTATAAATAAAATTATGAGCTATTTTATAAAGGTTTGGTACATGTAATATTTGAATAAATCTCGAACTACCCATTTTGTCTTGGTAACTAAGGCCCGTATCGTCAGTCGTCCCTACAATAGTAGGGCGCCTTTATGGCCTCCTTGATTGTCATAGTTTTCTACTTCTCCGTGTCAGAACTCTAATTTGAGGTTATGTCACAAACATCTATTTGCATCAAATTGTGCTTGCTTTTGAGTTATATCATGTTTTATCAGCCTGAAATTTCCTACAATTTAAAAAGAAAACATATCTTCACAATAGGAGAGCGCTGACGCTTACACGGGACAAGTGTAATCTAGAAATTTTTGAAGGAGAAAAAGAAGTATGACAATCAAGGAGGCCATAAACGCGCCCTACAATTGTAGGGACGACTGACGATACGGGCCTAAATGAGATTCATTGAGCCTAATGAATAAAAACTAAGCAATTACTTTAAGCAATTACTTTTTGGCAGAAGCAATTGCTTAACTAGCAATTGCTGTAAGGAAAAGCAATTGCTAAATTTTGCAATGAATAATATTTTTAAGCAAATGCTGCATTTCCCGAATCTGAAAAGCAATTGCTTATATATGTATGTGTTGAGCGCGTTTAAACTTGCAAGTATGTTTAGGAGTCGATACGCGCATTTATTTCAGTTTAGTTCCGAGTTTCTTACATTCGGCACAACTTAGTAGGTGGGATTAGGAACATATTTTTCGGTAAAAAATAAAAAAAGGCAGTGAAAATTATGGCTGATTCAAGTGAAAGTGACGAATCCCATGATGAGGAAGAAATGGATAAGCAGCTGTTATTTGTGCATAAATTAAAAGAACATAAAATCGTTCTTAATAAATCGCAAGTTCCGCAAGTTAAAATAGAAAAGGAGGCTGCTTTAAAAAATTTAGTACAATATAAAGATATTTTTAACGTACACTTACAACAAAGCAGTTAGCAAAAAAAAAAGTAATATGAAGTAATATCGTAGGTTTTTTTAAACATCAAAATAAATCATTCAGGTGCTGTCTCTGTTGGAGCCAACGAAAGCATAACACTTGCTGAATCCTCGGCCATCAGTGACACTCTGGCCCCCTCAAGTGCAAAAGAAATTACTATTCCTGCAAAGAAAATTAAGATATCACATTTACCAGAAACTGAAGAAACCCACAAATTATAAACTGCTAAGTTGCAGCGATTAGTTCTATTAGAGCAGTTGAAATTATGTCGAATGCAACAAGAAGAAATCATTAAGAGACAGAAGCAAGGTGATGGTAACTTTATGCCAAACAGTACTTTTTCGGAGGAAAAAATGTATTACAAAACTTGTAATTATTATTAATTATTTAATTTAGGATTTAATTTTTAATTTGGGTTTACATCGAGTATCAAAAACTAATAAAATCTGAATTTAAGTTGAATATAGGTACCTAAGAATTATATTGTTCTGTTTCCATTTGTTTAATAGTTTAATGGTATTTCTGATTTGTTTTAATTGTGTACCTACACGTAATATAAGTACCAGTCGTTACTTACATGATAATTTCAGTCACTATTTGCCTTTTTTGTTATCCTAATTGACGAATTAAATTTGTAGTTAAATTGAGTGTCTAAGTTAATTTCAGCATCAGCTTCATGATGCACGTAATCAGAATCTTCATCATTTAAACATTTAGCTATGTTATGAAGAACAACGCAGGAAATTATTGTCGATTGTATTTTTTCTAACTTATTCCGGATTTTATACTGTAGGACAGGAAATCTTGCTTTTAATTTCCCAAAGCATCGTTCAATTATTACTCGTTCTCGACAAAAAACGTTATTATACGTATAATTTTGCTGTTCTGGGGTTGTTGGATTTCTCCAGGGAGTCATAATCCAAGGGGATATAGAATAGCCATCATCCCCTAATAATACACATTTTTCGGTGCTGTTTTTAAGAATGTTTAATATATTGGAATTTTTAGATATTCTGCTGTCATGTACAGAGCCTGGCCATTGACAGGCTACACTTGTAAATATTTATTTGGCATTGCAAGTTGCCTGTATGTTGATGCTAGGATATCCTTTCCTGTTTATATATTCGAATTCAGCAAACTTTGGAATCCTGACATGCGTACAATCTATTGCGCCGATAGAATTTGGGAAACGGTATTTCTCCGACCACAGTTGTTTACCATCCATAAAGTCGTCAGCACTTTTGGGGAATTTAATCCAAATGTTGGCCTTCTCCAAAACGGCGTTCAGGACGGAAGTATATGTTTTACAAACACCAAGCTCTTCAGCAACGGCATTTTGAAAGCCAGGGTCTGAAAACTGACGCAGAAAAATGTTCATTTTATTCACAGTTGATAATGCTCCTCCTCGCTTTTTACCGCTGTCAGCCAAAAAATAATGCGCTAACAACTCCACATTTTCGCGATTAAAGAGATATAATTTTCGGAAATCATTGTCTCGGCACTCTTTACGTACACAGTATACTTTTTTTACACGAATATTCATATATTCGGCCATAACTACCAAATTCCAGATCAGTAAAAACAATCCGTATATGTAGTAGAACGAACAAAATTTCACTAAAAGCAAATGCAAGCTGGGATCGACCTACTTTAAATATCTAATAGCAATTACTACACTAGAAAAAGGAATTGCGTGTTTTATTCATCCCATTCTAAGCATGTTTAAGCAATAGCCGGTGTTTTTTAAGAAAAAGCTTTATCTAAAAGCAATTGCTGCAACTTTAAGCAATTACTGAAGGCAAAAGCAATTACTCAGATTTTTATTCATAGGTTTTTAAGCTTTTCCTTCAATTTTGTAAGACAAAGCAGTTCCTACATTTTTATTCATTAGGGCCATTGGCTATTTCTGTGGACAGCTGCCATTGATTTACTCCCAGAGGAGGAAGCATATTCCAATTTATACTCAACTGATCTAACAATATAGTGACATCAAGCTATACTTTATTTAATACAAGTATGTTTCTCCCACTTGAAAAGCTTAGAATTCTCTTTAAAAAGTCGTTTTCATCAGTGAATCTAGACAGCTTCTAAAAATGTTTTGTCACAAAGGACTTCATATGGCGAATAGAGTATTGGTAAACTGTAGAAAACGAATCCTTTGTAATCTGGCATGAATTTAACATTTTTTGCAATGTAAATATTTTGTTTAGGGAAAATCTAACCTTATATGCAATCGATAATCTTTGTATATCTTAAAATGCTTTAAAAGTAAGACATAAATTGTGCCCTTGAAAAGCTACATGTCCTTTAAGTTTCCTAAATTCTGGAGCAATTCATGCCAGGTCTATTCCAGCATAAGTATATAGAAATCAACTTGCCCTGAAGCTGGCCATGTAAGGATCATGGTCCTGATCAACATAACCCCTCTCAACTTCTTCCTACAAGGTGTTTTGACGAAATATTTCTTTTAGTATACTGATTTTCAGAGTTTTTGGTCTGAGAACTACAGTCGACACATTCACCATTTTTGCAAATCAGACAAACTTTTATCAGTCTATTTCTGAGAAACTAATCATAGGATTGTTTGGATCCCGTGGACATTTTTAAATATATCATACTGAAATTTTGAGCAACTGGAACCCATTTTCCTGATATATTGTGCCTGGTTCTTTGTACAGGGCTATTGATCAAGAGGATGTATCTTGATCTGTCATCAAAAAAAAAAAAAGATTATGAAAAAAATTAAGTTTGAATTTTTTTATCATAAATGCGAAGTTATAGGCTTGTCTAGTGAATTCTAAACCTTTGTTATTTTTTTCAGCACTGTATTATACTTGAAGTTTGTCATCCTGTGGGTGTTGGTAATTTTGGCCGACTTCATCTTGGAGTTCCGATTCGAGTTCCTGTGGCCGTTCTACCTGCTGTTACGCTCTGTGTATGACTCGTTCAAGTACCAGGGACTGGCCTTTTCGGTATTCTTCGTGTGCATCGCGCTGACGTCAGACATGCTGTGCTTCTTCTTCATCCCAGTGCATTGGCTGTTCTTTGCCGCCAGCACGTATGTGTGGGTGCAGTACGTGTGGCACACGGACAAGGGCATTTGTCTGCCCACCGTCATATTATGGGTACTGTTTGTGTATCTTGAAGCGGCGGTTCGGTTGAGGGATATCAAACATATGCCTGGGCATCTGGATTTGTGCAGGCCATTTGCTGCACATTGCATAGGTAATATATACTTTCTTCAAAATTAACGTATGCCAAATTAACAGTTTTAGATAACTGTCAGGCGACTGGCTACCTTTAGCAGGGAATTTTAAAAACATCTTGCGTATTTACCTTCTCTATCAAAACCCAGTTCTTGGACAAATAAATTGGGTTCGTAGGTCACGAATATTATGACAGTTTTTTGTTAAAATTTATAGAAGGCAATGAAAGCTCATTTTTCCTGTCCCAACTAGGGCTACATGACACTGAAACATTTTTACTTCTCATGCAACTGGCGAGGGATTGTTGTCATTGGGAAAATTTTCGAAAATATGATATTATGATTTTTTGATGTTATTTATTTGTTTGTTTAACATTAATTTAGTATGATTGCTACAATTGCATTATTTTATACAATTGCAACAATTACATAACAAACAGATATTTAGAAATATACTAAGTGACATATAAATCCGAACACCCAGTTTAAATGGTTTTATTTTAATAAAATTTTGTATAAGTACTTAATGAAGCATAATAAGTAAATGATAAAAATTTCAAAATGATTGCACTGCTTTAAAGCCCTTTGACCTTTAATAATGTGTGGATGCACCCTGATGTGCTACGCATTCTCCAACGCGCCTAGGCATGCTTCTGATCAGGTGGTCAATGTCCTCCTGTGGTATCTCATTCCAGGCAACCACCAACTCCTCTCGAAGTGCTTCTAGAGTCTGAGGAGGACGTTGCAAATTGAGCAATCTCCTACCCATCATATCCCGCACGTGCTCAATTGGGGATAAGTCGGGAGATCTTGGTGGCTATGGTAACAATGTGACATCATTATGTTGAAAGAAGTCTATTGTGACTCTTGCAACATGTGGTCGGGCATTATCTTGTTGGAAAGTTGGATCTGCCAGGGTGTCAAGATAGGGTAAAAGATGGGGTTCTAGAACTTCGTGGATATAACGCTGCGCGTTCATGTTACCTCTGATGAAGATTAAAGGTGACCTGGAACCATAAGCTATAGCACCCCAAACCATAACTCCAACAGTGTGATGAACATGTCTTTCAACAAAAAACTGTGGATTCCTCCTTTCACCACGTCGCCTTCTAACCCTGGCACGACTATTGTGCATGCCTAAACAAAATCGAGACTCGTCACTAAAGACAATACTGTTCCATTCCTGATCCCAGAGTGACCGTTGTCTGCACCACTCAAGGCGATTACGTCGGTGTTCTCGAGTTAAAGGGAGGACCCAGTGTGGCCGGTATGAAAACAAGCCAAAACTCTCATTCGTCGGTAAACACTTCGCATGCCAATAGGTCTTCCGTGTTCTGCAAACCATTCATTTGCAATGGACCTGGTAGTGGAGAAACGGTCCCTTAAGGCGATCTTCACGGTCTGTTGTTCTACGGCGGCGTCCAGTGCCCCTTGCTCTTTGCGTACGGCCTTCTCGAAGCCATGCCTGACAACACCTAACCACAGTGTCTACACTTCTTTGCACTCTAACTGCAATTGCCCGAAAAGAAAGTCCAGCTTCCCGAAGTCCCACTATACGGCCCCTATCAAACTCACTAAGTTGACGAAATCGTACAGGTCTCCGTACTCTAGGCATCGTAACCGATCGACTTTCATTTACAAAATTGTAGCAGCAATATAACGAGCAAGTCAGTGTTTCTAAAGGGATTGTACGAATTTAATAAATTAAGAAATGATCTCAAGATGTGCGCCAGTTTGAAAATGTTCAAGAGAAAATTGAAAAAATATTTAATGGAAAACCAAAATTCATAGAAGTGAAATTTAGTATAAAAATTAGCATACATTTTGTTTTAGAAGCAATCAATTTTAGTTTACATTTTACAATCTATGATTTTTGTCAAGTCAGAATTTAGCATCTTTAAAGTAGTGTTTACATCTGATATGTATGTATATTACTGTATCATCGGCAAATATCTGAATTTTCCAATATTCTGAAATATCACAAATGTCATTAATGTATGAAATAAATCATAGTTAGTTTACCAAGTACACCAACATAAACATTTTTTGAGCTTGATAATGTAGATCCAATTTTGTTTTTGACTTGTCTTAATTAAGTAGTTCAAAGGTAGTCGAAAAACACTGTCACTATATATTTCCTATTGTCCACTTCAATTTTGTTGGAAATTCACCATATTTTAAACAGTTATTCATCAGGATTAATATTCTTGTTCCCATAATATCAAAACATCCATTGAGCACCCATTTTGACAAAACCTCACTTTAATTTGATTTCAATTATGATATACTTTTCTTGAGTTGATTGATGGTGGAGATACTAGAATGTACGAAAGTTGAGTCAGATAAGATGGTGCATATCAAAATTCCATAATTTGGATTTTTTTAATCAATATTACGGGTTTTCACTAATAGTCATTTTTTATGTCATGGTACAAGTATTTTCATAGCTGTAGAATAATAAATACACCTAAGTTGATTTAGATACTATACGTGCTGCATAATCACAGTTAATTTGTCCAGAATTGCGTGGAAGTACAGAGTCAATCTAATTGACGCCATTTTTGAGCGTTACTGCGACGTGGAAAAAAGTTAGTTTGTTTGCGCTATTCGAATAACATACGAAGATTTTTACTTCCTACGCCTACTGGCAGAAAACTATTGTATTCGCAAATAATTTCGATATTGAGATAGTATTTATCTGTATGCTATATGACGTGTCATATGTCACTCATTTCCGTCGGTCTCTTCGCTAATCGTATAACCGCATTTAACTTGAGAAATACTGCTTGGATTTCGATGAAACTTCTACACAACGTTTCTACTATGCCAAGGACGCAAAAGCTTTGTAGTTTTTGAAAATCGGTCTGGTGTCGGCACAGAAAAATGCCAAAAACAAGAAATATATCGCTCATACTTCATTTTTTGACGTTTCAGACGATTCTGATCATTTTCGAAAAAAATGTAGTGCTTAAAAATTGTGGGTTAGAGTTTACAGGGAGCGGGCGAGTAATTATAGGCACTTACTAGGCATATTTCACTCATCATACATTACGTACATTTACCCTTAAAACTTAGAAATATTTCCTACAGTCGGTTGTCGATACGTGCGACGTGGACCCAGGGATAGTCAAGCGCAGTCGTCGGTGGTCGTACGTTACAGTCGGCAATCGCTTCGACACTACTATGGGCTGCGTGAACTGTAGGCCAGTATCGTTATTCACGCGGGGTTGGTCATCGCAACTATCATGTGCACCTGCGGCAATTCCTCAGGAGGAGGAGGGTCATTTAATTCTTTGTTATACATGTTCGTAGCTAACTTTTTTCTTAGAAGGGCTAACTTTAAACTGATGACAACGTGGTGTGGGAAGTACAGAGTCAACTTACTCATTTTTTGATTTTGTGACATAACCTTATATTTACTTTCCCTTGATTGTAGGTTATCCAGTGGTGACGTTAGGTTTTGGCTTCAAGTCGTACATAGGTTACCGGATACGTCAGCGCAAACAGCAGCACGTCGCGAAAGAGAACCAGTTCTACATGCAGCTGATGCAACAAGCATTGCCGGCGGAGGCGGTCAAACCGCCTCCGCCACCCGCTGCACCCAATAACCAAGACTCGGGCCAATCGCAACACGCGGCCATCGAGTCGCCGCAGGCAGCCACCGTCACCGCACATTCGACGACTAATGTACAAAATAATCATAAGTTACATAATAGTAGGTGAGTAGGAAGATCTTTGAACTTTATTTCTGTTTTCACAGCGATCTTTTCTGCGGAGGAAAATCATAACATCCACTAACACCTATTCCACGTAAAGATAGTCCGCGTCCAAAAAATTATCCGAAATGGGTGGTGATCTCTTCTATTCCTTGTTTACACGTTAGATCTACCAATGGACATAAAAACAAAGATTTCATTATATGCAGATGATAGCAAGCTATTCGGAAACCCTGCATTACAAGAGTTAAAATATAACGTCTTGATAATTTTACAATTTGGGATCGATTATTTAAATAAGTGTTAAACCAATTGAGTGAAGTTCGAGTGCAACCGTTTTTGGTTATTTCTTTAGTAGTATATCATGATTTACACAGTAAAAAACTTTGGAAAAGTAGCAGAAAAGAGCTATTGAGATTTGTTCATCGTTTAAATTTGAGTATAACTGTTGGGTTAATGTGAAAATAGCATCTATATTTTTTGTTTTTGAAATCCAAATTGGTTCTCACTTATAATTTTGTTTTCAGGAAGCCTCTAATTTGAACTATTTTTTCTATTATTTTTGCTATAGCAGTAACGTATATAAACCTATGGGTCTATAATTTTCTGGTAAATCACTTGGACCTCTCTCCTTTGTAAATAGGAATAACTATTGATGTTTTTAAAAATCCTAGGCAAACACCTGTGCTAAGAGAAATATCAGTTTTGAGAGCCTATCGAGAGGATCAAGTGAAAGATTGGCTATAACATTCAAAGAAATTTCAACAGTGTCTGATGATTTTTTATTTCTGATAGATCTAATTACATATCTTTTTTATTAGGTCTTCTTAAATTTCTAAATTTCTTTATTTCAGACAATCTCACGAGAAGAATGGTCACATACCAAATGGTACAATAGCAAATGGTGTACACACGTCGTACAGCAGCAAATCACATCATCGCAAATCGGTCGAAAAATGCAGAGACCAACACGACCAGCAACACGATCACAGGTGGGTCATTTAACATACTAAAGTTAAATATGATCTTGAGTTTAATTTCCTTGATGACCTGAGTATCCTTAAATATGTTTTATTGTAACACATTATACTAATATATACTAATTCCTTCCTGGGAGCCGTATGACCAAAATCCTGAGTGGCACTGTAGCCTCTTGAGCGTGTTGTACTTTGCTCCTCGAGTTTACAGTACCCAATCCATCAGTCTAGTGTTCTGTACCAGCTGGCACAGTTTCCCTGCCAGTACTGTTCTAAATTCCCTCGGTTCTAGTTTTGATTTCCCAAAGAGTTGATGGCATTTCTGATCCAGCGCCTCTCAATCACATAATACATGTAGGGCTAATTCTGGTCCTTTTCCAGATTGTCTGCAGCTAAGGTCTCCATCATGAAGTCCTATTTTACGCAGGTGTTCTTTCAGGCCATTGTATCTGGTTAGAAGTCCTGTGACTACACTCATTGAGAGCAGTTCCACAGTCTTGTTTGAACATGGCCCTTAGATAAATTCTTTCTCATGCCTGCAGCTAGTCATTAAGTATCAATATGTCTTGCACTGGTTTCTTATCCTTTCTTGACTTGGTTCCTTAGAGTGCTTTTTGCCACATTTAAGGCAAGTTCTGGGCCTGTAGAGGATGTGGATTATCCTTTCAGTGCAAGCTCATCCGCCCTTTCATTTCCTGCGTTATATGAATGCCTTGGCACCCATATCAAAGTTACTTTGTTGTATTCCGCTAGTGTGTTCAGTTCTTGTTAGCATTCCCAGATCATTGTAGGACTTGACGGTTTGAGCGACGCCTCACTGTTAGTGTATATAGCGATCGTTTTGCATTGCATACACTTCTTCCTGAAATATAGAGGTGTGTCTTCCATCCGGTATACTATGCCCAGGATTGCACCTATTCCTATATATACCTGCACCTGTTCCCTGCTCAGTTTTTGACCCGTCAGTGTACCAGCTAATTTCCCGTTGCTGATTGTGCCTTTGTAGTTCCGTTCGATCTCCTATTTTGGTCTCGAAGTTTTTTTTTGAATACAAATCTGTGGTCTTTCCTCGCGTCAAGTATGTCACTTCGCACATGTTTCCTTATTTGATTATGTCCAAGGTCCTCATATCTTGCCTTTGGCTGTAACTGTAGCCTGGAGTATCCCATCCTCGCTTCCTTCATTATTACTTAATGTTATTATTAATGTGAAAAATACTAATTGTGGAGACATCAGTTCTTGTTTTTCCTGGAATTCCATATTTTCTCATGACTACCTCAGAAGGAGGGTTATGCTTTTCGAGCCCATGTAATATGTAAGCAATCAAAAATAATGAGTTCACTAGCTATAAGCAGAGTTTTAAGTAAGAAATCGATATAATGACATCAAAAATTTATATGCCAACTTGTTTACTCTGTAGTCGCTAGCCCATTCCGTGCCTAGTCGCTGTAAGCGCCACCTATAGAGAAATGGCTGCAATTGACGTTTCCTCGACATGATTTGTGAATCCAACAGAATCATCATCAGCACAGATTATCATTACTTAAATCATTACTGTACACTGCAGTGTTTCCTTCCTGCTATAGTATAAAACTTACAACTTAGCTCATAGGAGCTATAAATGGCATCTGATAGGGCTATCTTTGAAGCAGGCATAACATCAGAGCCAAACCATACAGCTCAAGTGTCATGTCGTTATTGAAACACGCACAGCTACTACCAGTGAACATGAACTGAATGTCAGATAATTCTAAGGTGACATTTTATCGATAAATCTACGTAATGTTATTGAAAATCGATATAATGCCACTTTTTAGGCTAAGCAATACGGATGCGGCTTGATGTATTTTAACATACGAGGTGTCTCTATTGTCTTTTTCACAAGTATCCATTACGGGAGAATAATGCTGATCATCTAGTAGCATTTCAAAATTCGTCATATCGACAAATGATGTAATTCTGACGGATCCGTCAACGCCAGGTAGACAGCAGTATTTTGTTTTGTTTTTTTTTTGTACGCTACATATTCATTTTGTACTTGCTAATAATAATAACCCTTTTATTCAGAAAACTTCATTTGCATAAAAAACTCTATAAGCATGTTTTACTAGGTTTACACCCTATTCATTATTGCCAACGTTACAGACTAATACAAAGATGTCACTTGCTGAACACCTGTTCAGCTCAGTAAACGTGATGGATACTCGTGAAGGTTTAGATTTGTTTTGGCAGTGCTAGTGACATCGGGTATATTATAATTTAATAAATTCAAATGGCAGATTTTGAATGCAAATTTCAAAATACTTTTTTCAGTCCTAAAAGGCCGTGGGTTCTTCAATTTGAAAATATATTTTTCTAGACAGGCGAAAATGCTGTGCGCCATATTTGGTCTATATTAATGTGCCCTGACGTCATACCAGTGGTAAACAGCATAACCTCTCAAACTTTTAAACATAAAAACATGACTTCTACTAGTTTATATGAAAAGTAAGGTAATTAGCGTTATTGTATCGTCTGAGAATATAAAAACACATCGATAAAGACCCCAAAAACGCTGTTGATTGGAGCACCCAGGGAAATAAATATACGCAACACTGTATTTATTATATCTTATGTTCGGGACATATTTTACATTTTACTGTACTTGTACGTTACCAATGGCTTCATCACCGTACGATTCCCTTGCACATGTGTAAGCATAATTACAATATCATATGAAATTATTCAGAAGTTATGACACATGAGCTTAGTTTTGAATGACTACTAAAAAGAAATATTATGTAAGTGTTTATCTGATGCACTATACTCTTGTAGAAATCTTGATGTTCCTCTGCTCAGTAGAGCAGAAGTCGGGGTTAAAGGTAAAACATTACCAACCATAAATATGTTAATTATCGGAAAATTTGTGCTTTCTGCTTTTACGAATCCAACGTCCTTGATTGTATTTTTTTAATATAACGAGAACACGCAAAACTTTTTACGTTGATTGAGAGTTTTTCTGAAATATTTAATGAGGATAACGTGAGCCTGCGAGTGACATACGGATGACGTTTTTTTGTTTACAATTTGTATTACATCACATCATAGCCGATAGGGTTTTCACCACTTTGTATTAAAAATAAGAACTATATTTTTTTAATCGATTTATATATCTTGCGCTTTTAAAAATTGAAATCGATATATTTCGATTTCCTATTGCAAATATTCACGAAATTCTCATTTAATCTTTGAAATTAGATATGAGTCAAGTAGCCGATCAAAAATTCATTCTTCTCAGTTTCTGCAGTAGATTTTTTGTTGTTAAAAGACGTACTTGTTTTGAGACTCGTATGTTTCAGGCATACCGACAGACAGCAGCGATCTTCATCGCACGCGCATCAGAACGGTTCAGTACAGTCCGGAACTAGCGCACACAGTCACAGTGCCAGTGGGGGGCAACAGACCTCCACGGACGGCGACTGCAGTTCGACGGGGAGTTCTCAGCCTAGCTCTCCCGTGTTGGAACATCCTGAGGGAATGTTGCTGCGTGGAGGTAGAAGCAAAAAGGAAAAGAGAGAACAGGACAAAGATCGGGAAGCGAACGAGTACCTGCAGAGGCTGGAGAGCGACGCGAAAAGGCTCAGGTCGGATTTGCAGAGTAGCAGGGCTAGCGAACAGGAGCTCAGGTTGCAGGTAGGCATTAGTAGTAGTATATTTAGCCAAATTTCAAACAAAAAGTTCACAAGACATGTCAAGAGAAACGTAGCACAGTTAAAATATCACAATAAATGTGAATATAGGAGAGAGTGAGTTAACAGTGTTGCACCACACTATGATCAAAAACATGATAAAAATACAAGTTCATTATGACTAGATGTAGATATAGTAGTGGTTAAAGTCAAAGTTAGAGTAAAATAGCTATTTGTTAAAACACTAGATAAAACATAATATGTATTACTGATTTGGAAAATTAAAAAAATCATTTTAGGGTAAAAAGATTTCAGACTTAAATACTTGAAAACCTTATTTTGAAATTTGATGTAGCTCTCTATATCTCACTATAAAATGATATGTAGTTGCATTGATGTGACTTTGTAAAACGATTTGCTTTCAAAATGGAATATCTGGTCTTATAGTGGTGATCATTTTGTATGCTGAAATCATTGATGTTTTGCTTTACATAGTTGACACACTTGTATATGTAAATACTAGTCTAATCATATTACACAAAATACCTTTGGTTTGCGAAATAATTAGTCTGGTTTTATTGCTGCAAGTTGTTCAAGGGGGTATTCAAAACATGGACGCATACAATGAGTAAGTACACCAATTTTTGTGGGAAAACTTTTTATTCAACAACAAAGAATGAGTAAACGTGTTTTTTGGGATTCAATCGAAAGTGTTGGCAGGACGAGAAAATTCTTCATATAAGATTTTTAGGTATTTATGAGACCTACAAAATAAGACCACGCGTAAAAAGATCCGACTTATAGCAAAAAAGGCAGCAGCGGTGGCCGCAGTAGTAGACTCTTCGGTCTCCTGATCAGTCGCCGTGCGGGTTTGATTCCCGTCCCAGGAGAAATTTTTTTCTTGGCTATGGATGTTGTGATTGTCCGTAGGTGGTAGATGGCCTCTGACTGTCGAACGTGGAGGTACCACCCGGCGGATCTCGTAGGCGGAGCCAGAATGTGTGCATGTTGCATGCACACGTGTTCCCTCGCCAGAGTCCGTGTGGCGTTCCCCCTTTCCCCTGTATCCCCCTATATCCCCACGGTACCCAATGGGTAGGCCTTCGTGGTAGTTGGAGTATATAAAAAAAAGTTATGGCCGAAAACCGAGGCAAACTGCAGGTTTTGGCACTTGCTGGAAAATGCGACGATGGTTTCTCGCAGATATTTAGGAAATTCTTCAAATTCGTAGGATTCATACTTCAAAATAACCATAACAAAATTGGAGTAGATTGGTCAAGTAGTTTTTGAGAAATTCTAATTGTTTATCCCAAAACACCCGTTTTTCGGCCATCACTACTAGTTTATTGAGCATTATACAGGGTTAGTTCAAAGCGCATTTTATAGCAAAATACACTAGTTTACCGTGCCGATATATGTAAATCGCAAACCATTCCAGAAGATAAATGTTATTTTTATGCAAAAAAGAATGGGTTACGTTTTTTCTTCTAAACAAAATCAAATATTTCGTATTTGTGAGTAATTCGCAATAAAAGATGATAGACACATCCGCTATGTTTTAAAATGTGTATAGTAACGTATGTTTTTCGAATATCGTAGCGCATTATTACTCATAAAAACGAAATGTTTGACTTTGTTTAGAAGAACAAAACGTAACCTTTGTGTTTCGCATAAAAATAACATTTATCTTTTGGAATGGTTTGTGATTCATATCGGCAAGGTAAACACATGTATTTTGCTATTAAATGCTTTTTGAACGAACTCTGTATATTGCTCAATAAACTAGCAGTGATGGCCGTAAAACAGGTGTTTTGGGATGAACATTTAGAAATTCTCAAAAAATTACTTGACCAATATAATTCAATTTTGTTGTTGTTATTTAGAAGTATGAATCCTACGGATTTGAAGAATTTCAAGTTGTTGCGTGAAATTATCGTCACATTTTTGCTATTAGTCGGATCTTTTTACGTGTGGTCTCATTTTGTACGTCTCATAAATACCCAAAAATCTTATATGAGAAGTTTTTTCGTTCCTGTCAACACTTTCGATTGAATCCTGAAAAACACGTTTTCTCATTCTTTGTTGTCAAATAAAAAGTTTTCCCACAAAAATTGGTGTATCCATTTTATGCGTCCATGTTTTAAATACCTCCTTGAACAACTTGCACCAATAAAACAAGACTTTACAATTATTTCAGGGAAATTTGCTAATATGATTAGACTATACAAGGATTTTGGAAAAATGTGTATTTGCAACTTTCACCAAAACTGAGGTTGAACAACAATCTAATTATCCGCTTTTGATATAATTATATAAAAACTGTTGCTACTTGTAGCTCTACCCCAGCATAGGATGTTATACGATAAATGGCTGTATACGAGAGCATAGTATAGTGATAATATGTTTTTTGATCTAAATACTGCTCCATATGAAATATGGCACAATAACCTTTATTTAAATTCATGCATACATTCTTAGTTTGGGTGCCGGAGGAGAGTTCTACATCGAACCAGCTACCAAGGAGTTTCACACTATCCACTAACTGTAATCCAAGCTCTACATTTAATGTTGTTAAAGTTGATTGCGGTAGTTTTATTTTTATTCAGGTTCATATTGTTTCTTTGACGGCCACACATTTTGACAGAAACGGTCGCTATCTCTCGTTCAATATTGGCTCTAAGCTCCTCTACTGACGCCTGCTTGTTGGCATAGACCAATGATTTAATGTAGCCCCACAAAAAATGTCTAGAGGTGTTAAATCACACTATCTAGGCGGCCATTCGACAGGATCGTTTCTCGGTATAACACGTTCACTGAATTTTGATTTAAATATGTCGATTGTTTCACCCGCTGTGTGACTTGTGGCATCGACTTGTTGAAACCACATATCATTAATGTCTAGAAAAATCCAATTGTCCAAAAAAATAACGTTGTAACACGTCTTTGTAGCGGTCTCCTTTGACTAAAAAAACGGCCCTATGACATCACCGGCACGAAAACTATACCATAAAGTTATTCTTTATGGATAAAGTGGTGTTTCTTGAAGCACATGAGGGCTTTCACCTGACCAATAACACAAATTCTGTTTGTTGACGAAGCCGTTTAGCAAAAAATACACCTCATCACTGAAGATGATTTTGCGATGAAATTGGTCATTTTGCGGGACAAGATCTCATCGCAAAATTCGCAATAGTTTGGTCTGAGCGATGCCCAGTCCTTGAGAACGCCGTGAAATCGACGTGTTCTGTTCGTTTGCGACGGAAGCTTGAACGACAGCAATATTCTCGTCACTTCGACCATCCCGTTGTCTCACTGGCACGGGAACCTACTAAAAAATTGTGGTACATTTAATAATTACTTGAACACAAACCCCCACTAACATGCATATCTTACAAATAATTGTAATTCCCTGCCGTATCCACAGCAACAGCGATAAAAACTTGTTTTGTCATTTTTATTGACAGTGACAAGAATATCAGTACGAAAACAAACATTGTACAGTTAAAATATTCTTATTTAGTTTTCGGTTTGAACTATTTTTAAAATGGTCAGTTCTCGTCCATTGGAAGAAAAAATCGAAGCGATTTTTATTTATGGTGCGACGCGTAACTTTCACGAGACCGAAAGGATTTTTAATGATTGCTTCCGGAATCGTCCTATCTGTAGAAAATATTTAAGGGAACTTGTATCTAAATTTACAGCTACTGGTAGTGTAAAAAACAAAAAGCCCCCAGGTCCTCCGACCATCCCGGAAGAAAAGCAAGTTCAAATAATTGGTGAGATCATAGTAATTCGCCACAGTCTACTTCCTCTATCGCGAATGTATGTGAGGTTTGTCTTTCTACTGTATGGAGACTTTCTAAAAAGAATAAGTATCACCCATACAAAATTCAAATGGTACATCAGCTAACTGAAGATGACCCTGATCGAAGAACAGAATTCTGCGAGACTATGACGGAAACCATTGCACGGCATCCCACCTATATCCAAAATATTTGTTTTAGTCATGAATGTACATTTTTTCTTAACGGTAATGTGCATAGACAAAATTGTCGTCATTGGAGTGACACCAATCCTCACCTCTTCCGGAAAACTCAATATCCACAAAAAAATAACGTTTGGGCTGGGATATTGGTAATTCATATTGTGGGGCCTCTATTCATCGAACAAACTTTAACCGGGGAACTGTATTTGGATTGCAGGAAAATGCTATTGGCCCTCTAATCACCGAAATCGTCTAAGCGAAGCGAATCCTAATGAATTCGATACTGATATTGTATTCCAGCAAGATGTTCTCCACCACACTACTACAGACAAGTTAGGAATTATTTAGATAACAATTTCCTCGGTCGTTGTATTGGCCGTCGAGGTCCTGTGGAATGGCCAGCTCGTTCGCCAGATGTGACACTTTTAGACTTTTTTTTATGGGGCTATTTGAAGCAAAAGGTGTTCGAAATTGAACTTGCTTCAATGTGGGATATATGTCTGAGAATAACAAATATTTGTAGAAATATCGATGTTACTATGTTTGAAAATGTTTGACGCGAAATTACGGACCGACTGTTATTGGTCAAGAAGTTCAAGGCAACCATTTCCAGCATCTAAACTGAACTCAACGTATTTATTCGAATTATCAAGTTAAATGTCAATGTATTCAGGTAATTATTAAATGTACTACCATTTTGTAGTAGGTAAAGGTATTGACTTTATAGTCGAGGGTTATAAAGTACTCGTCAGGAGCTTCAAAATGATGTGCCACAAGACTTCCGTTTCCATATATTTTTCCAAGATGGCGCCCAGCGGCCATCTTGACATTTTTATCTGTCAATTTTACTCAATCAATTTCATTACCTCAAGTTTTAATTTTTTGAATTGGTCCGTTCAAAGAATCAAAGTGGAGGGGGACATTGAAGAAAAGCACTGTATAATAGCTATATCAAATTTCAAAATTTTAACATTAGATAGTTCGCTAAAATGTAGGTTCAATCAATTCGACAAGAATACTTATAGATATAAAGTACGTCTCCCGTATTTACAAGAATTTGTTATATTTTTATGTCTGTTTTATGCATTGTATTCATTTGATTGCAAAATACGCCTACATATAAATAATTATTTTCGTTTACGTCAACAAAACAGTAACAGAGACCTTATAAGAGTTACTCTCGTTTTTCACATGTTATTTATATTATCCGTTTAAATTGAGTATTATGATGTTCAATTTCTCAGAAGGTTAACTCACTTCTTTATGTATAAACGCACTGTTTCTCACTACTTTTTTTTGGAACTCTCACTTTTCTATCAAATTCATGCTTTGGGCCGCCAGCATATCTGTCAAGGAAAAGATGGTTTTACCAACTTTGTGAAATAGGAAACGGCAAGAGCTTAATCCCTGTCCAGAGGAAGACTTTCTAGAGTCCTAATATTGATCTATCCTTGAAATATTTTTTTTGGAAAATAGCATATTGCTTTATCAAAATAATTGTTTTTAGGTTGCTGCATTGACGACGGCAGACAAAGTGTCGAAAGGCGAAATATCCTCGTTACAGCGGGAGCTCGAAGATATTCAGCAGCGATTACAGAGCGCCTTAAGTACAAAATCATCAGATAAACAGACGATAAGCAACTTGGAGAGACGGATAGCCGATGAGAGGCGACTCAGGTCCAGTTTGGAATCACAGCTGAACCAAGAGAGGAAAAGTCGGAAACAGGAGGAGGCCAGAGCTGCTCAGGTAAATTACTCAAAATTATACCAAATTATGTTTTTAAAACATGAGACAATCATTCAGGGGTGGTATAGTTTGAGCTATTCTAAAAATATTTTATTCTATGATGATTCCTGAAATAATAATTCGTATGGAATATACAGATTGGAAATAAAATGCGTAAAATAAAATAAATTTTACATAGTAATGTTTGTCATCTTGTTAACAAAATACATCAAAGAAAATCCATCAGACCGGGCCCATAACCTTACTATGTTGTTTTAGAGTCGTATGATAATAGTGTGGTCAAGTGACTGAATGTTTGAATGGAAAGCTGCAAATCTTGGTTCTATTTACACTCGACGCCCTCCTTTATCGTTATGATAGAAAATAATCTGTTAGACTGAGCCCATAACCTCACTTTGTTTTTTTAGATTATTTTCTCTTAGACTGTTTGGCAAAATGATTGAATGAGGTAAAACGGAAGGTTGCAAATGTTGGTTCGATCTACACTTGACAACCACTTTTATCGTTTTGATAGAAGAAAATCTGTCAGACTGGGCCCATAACCTTACTATGTCGATTTAAAGCCTAACGATAATCGTGGGGTCAAATAACTGTAGGTTCTAGAATAAAACGCTGCAACTGTTGGTTCTATCTATACTGTTGTATCCTTGTAACTATGCTCCCTGTCAAATATGAAGTCAGTGTCATGTCATTGTATCAACTGTCATTATCATGTCCAGTCCAGCTGGGGCGATGTGTGCACATGATAGTGGTTAGATAATAAAACCTAAATTGTGATTAATCCTTCATTTATTAAGTGTAATACACAACATGAGCCAATAACTTTCCTATGTTATTCATACGAGAATAATGAGGCCAGATGATTGCTGGTCCTAGAACGGAAAGCTACAAATGTTGGTTCTATGTACACTCGACGTATTGTTTTGATTATCATTTTTTATTTTTTTAGGCGGTTGCCGCCCAGCAGCGCGAACAAGCGGCAGCGGCAGCAGCTGTAGCGGCGGCGTCACAGCAGCAACGCGTCAGCGGTGAATGCGGCAGCGACCAATGCCGACAGAGGCGGCGCGAGCTGGAAGCCGAATTGGCTGAGGCGCGCAGGGAGGCGAGATGGCACGAGGAACGGGCACAGCAGCTGGAAAGGTCGGCATTCTTTTTTCTATCGAGAATGTAACTTCTTTGTATGTAATAACACTAATTCCGTGCCTTAACACTCACTACTTGGAATGATTTTCATATATACAGGGTGTTTCAATTTATTGTTGCATAACTTCAAGATTCGATAGAACTTTTAAAATAAATGCATAAAGGCTATATAAACATGGGTCGAAAAATGCGTGGCTTCCGAAATACAGGGTGTTTAAATTTACTTTTTAAAATAGTTTTTTTTAAATATTTCGAACAATATTTGATGTATAACAGTGAAAATTGGTAGACAAGGGTTTTTTGGTACGACAAAACGAACCATGGGCATAGTTTTACTGTAGCCGCTAGAGGGCGCTCTACTGTACCTGTATCGTATTAAAATGACCAAAATTTTTTTCTTAGTGCAATTTTTTGCTTTTTGAATAAAAAAACTGATTCTTCGCACTTTTCAACATAAAAAAGCTCTCTTGTGAATTTTCGTTATAGTTAGCCGTTTTTGGGATTTTTCGATTTTTAAGGTTCGATGCATTTTTAATTATTTATGATAAAATAACGTTAAAAAGTCAGTATCTCGATAATTTTTAGAAGTAGGCTGTGCCTGCAAATATTTTTGAAATTGAAAGCAGAATAGGGTTAAACGTCAATTAGTTGACAGTTATTTTTGTTGTCTGTTGAAACCTGAAACGTTTTTTTGCAATTGTGAATGCACGAAATTTAGTTTCTTTTACCTGTTTTTTTTTGTAAGTTTTATATAAATACCATTTTTATTCTCCAATCAATAGTTAGCGGATATTCATTTTGTGTATGGCTTTGTAAATGGAAACGTAGCAGAAGCATCCAGAGAATACGCACGAAGATTTCCGAACAGACGACATCCAACTCGATCAGTATTTGTAAGAGTGCATCGCCAAATAATTTAAAATGGTTTTGGAAATCTCCAAAGGGATCAAAACATAAATGTTCGTCAGCGCAGATTTACCCGTATGATTCTGCGTGAGTTTGATGGAGATCCGACCACAAGTGTTAGGAGAGTTTCTGGTGCCTTGGGAATTTCAGCAAGCCATGTTCACCGTGTTCTTAGAAATGACCATAGACGTCCTTACCATTTGCAACCTGTGCAAGGACTACAGCCAAGGGACAGAGAACGAAGAATCACATTTTGTCAGTGGATTCTTGATAGAACTGATAATAATAGGGAGTTTTTAAGTAACGTTTTATGGACCGATGAGTCATGCTTCACTAGACGTGGAGTGGTAAATTTTCATAATCAACATATTTGGTCGCATGAAACTCCGCGTGCAGTTCGGGAAAGAAATTTTCAGCATGAATTTAGTGTGAACGTGTGGATTGGTATCTACCGTAATCGACTATTTGGACCCTACCTTTTGCCTGCAAGGTTAAATGCTGCGACCTTCTTGGAATTTTTAAAGGCTGAACATGCAAATATGTGGGATGATGTTATGTTAGATTTAAGAAGATTGGCCTGGTTCCAGCTTTATTATTATTATATTCGAGAATAGTTAGAAACTGGCTGGACGACAATTATCCAGAAAGATGGATCGGCCGTGGAGGACCAGTAGCCTGGCCTCCACGATCCCCTGACCTAAATCCATTAGATTTCTTTGTGTGGGGATTTCTAAAAGAAAAAGTGTACCAGACTCCCGTAACCACAAGAGATATGCTAATAGACAGAATCAGGAATGCATGTGATGAAATAAGGCCTTATTTGAATAATGCTATACCACGACCTATCATTCGTAGATGTGAATTGTGTATTGAACAATTGGGTTTACATTTCGAGCAACTACTTTAGATTTTGTATGTTTGTCCTAACTATCCAATAGCATTTTAGTTGTAAATAATTAATTTAATTTGTTAAAAATAATATTGAAAAATTAAACAAATTAATATTCTGTTTTTTTGGGAATTATTGCTGTGTTTACAAACAATTGAACACACTATCTAAACGATCATCTTAATTAATCCTTAAAAATCGAAATATCTCAAAAACGGCTAACTATAACGAAAACTCACAGGAGAGCTTTTTATGTTGAAAAGTGCCAAGAATCAGTTTTTTTATTCAAAAAGCAAAAAATTGCACAAAAAAAATTTTTTCGGTCATTTTAATACACTACAGGTACAGTAGATAGCGCCCTCTAGCGGCTACAGTAAAACTATGCCCAAGGTTCGTTTTGTCGTACCAGAAAACCCTTGTATACCAATTTTTACTGTTATACATCAAATATTGTTCGAAATATTGAAAAAAAAACTATTTTAGAAAGTAAATTTAAACATCCTGTATTTCGGAAGCCACTCATTTTTCGACCCATGTTTATATAGACTTTATGCATTAATTTTAAAAGTTCTATCGAATCTTAAAGTTATGCAACAATAAACTGAAACACCCTGTATATAAATATTTATATATATATATATATCTCTATAAATAAATATAAAAAATTCTAACTGTGGCTAGGATTGTATTAGAACAGTTTTTTAAATCCGTCAAAGAAGGTACTGACTGTTTTGATAAAAACGTCTCCTATAAACAAGTGCAACAAAATAATTCCATTTGTTTATAAGGTTCATTAGTTGACTTAATCTTTGCATTTTGGGATATAATCGTCGATGATTCCCCGGGAAACTTTGCAGATGGGTGGATGACTTCCCCTCTCCTCAATTTTATATATTCTCACCTTTGTGATTTGGCAAATCGGGTGATTTTAAGTTATAGATTGAATCCCTTCATTAGGCATTTACCGTCAAGCCAGTATTTATTTGATTTTTTATTTTAATTGCAACACCCAACAGCAGCTTGTGCCAATTACGAAATGTAGATTTCCATTTACAAAATTGCAATAGTAATATAACTAGCAATATTTCAGAAAGGATTACTTGAATTTGATAAACTAAATTTGTGATATAAAGTCTACTTGTGATTTAAAGATGTTAAAAAGAAAATTGAAGGAATATTTCATGGACAGTGAAAATTCTTAGAGATGCAAGTTTTGTTTTTCTAAATATCTGTATGTTACGAAATAATTGAAAATGTTGAATCAATTAAATATTTAGGTATATATATTGATAGTAAACCAAAATTTGAGGGTCATTATTTCAAAAATTGCCAATAAAACAAATTACTTTTATAGGGTTTCTCATAGTCGTGGTACATATTCCAGGAAAATAGTTTAAATACAATTATTATTATTCGACAGCATTTACTATATTGTTCAACTATCTTGTTCACTGCCAATGAAGCTGTATTCTCAAAATTACAAGTCCTACAAAATAAAGCTATTATAATATATAAAATAATAGTGAATAAAAATAAGTACACCAAAATAAAATCTATGTTTCAAGAATTGCTGTGGTTGAATATAAAAATTTCATATCATATTTGGATTATTATTTTTATATTTAAAATAAAAAATCATCTTCTGACACAACATTTAGAACACTACATAGAATTGAATAATCATTACCACAATTATTATACAAAAGGAAATTTAGATTTTCATTTACAAAATTGCAGTAGTATATATAACTAGCAAATCAATATTTCAGAAAGGATACTTGAATTTAATAAACTAATTAATGATATAGAGTCTACTTGTAATTTAAAGATGTTTAAAAGAAAACTAAAGGAATATTTCATGTACAGTGAAAATTCTTAGAGATGCTAATTTAGTTTTTTCTAAATATCTGTATGTTATGTGATTGCTTAGTTTTTTAGAAGAATGTAATTGTAGCAATCATGCTGAATAAATCTTAAACAAACTAAGCAAACAAACATATTACGTTTTATTTCTGTAGGGATGGTGCGGCGATGGCAGAACGTGCCAGAGACGCCGATTTACTGATGTCGGCGTTAAGCGCGATGCAGGAGAAAAACGCTCATCTGGAGAACTCCTTAAGCGCAGAGAACAGAATCAAATTGGATCTGTTCAGCGCGCTAGGAGAAGCGAAACGACAGTTGGAGCTCAGAGAAAGTAAGTGCGGTTCCATCATCAATCTAATATATATCTTTCAATTCATCAACTGGAACGTGGTTCTAGGTGGCTTGTTTTCAACCCCAAATTCAGCCCCATAATGCCTCGGTTTTTTTGATGGTCATATTCGAAATCAGCGTCCCAAATAAGCGTAGTTTCTTTAACCTGTAGCTGCAGGAAATAACAATGGAAATTTTGCATTGAGAAATATTTTAAAGTTTAAATACCAAAGAAGAATCGAGTGCGTAGATCACGAATCTGCTGGAATCGAGAAGAGGTTCCATTTATATACTCTTTTTGCTTCTGCGGTACTTTAGAATTTCTTGTTCACCATATTCGCAATCGGCGGTATAATATGAGGGCCATTTTGAAAGTAAGAACAGATTGCGCATCATGCCCGCGCTTTCCGGGACGTGCCGTCCGTTCAATCTCAGACACTCTTGGCCAGTCTGTTAATATGCCACCATTACGTTTCTTAAATCTGTCGGTGTTGGTTACGTGGTTATACTGCTTTGTTGTTGAATTACTCAGCCACCATACAGCCCTGATTTAGCACCATCAGATTTTTTTCTTTTTCCAAAACCTATTCTATGGTTGTCTGCGAAAGGTTGGCAAATCTCGAAACTGGAGATACTACAGACCAAAATATGTGAATTGACCTATACATATCTTAGTCCAAAAGTTGATAGATTGCGAGATACAGGGTTACAATTTTATTTTCTATTTTTCCTTATTGCATGATAAGTATTTCAGATTTTGGCATAAAACTGTGTATAGGGAGGCTTTCTGGTATGAGAAACAAGAATCCGTTATTTTTATGGCCAAACCTCTAGAGGGCGCCGCATACAGCACTATTTCGGTAAATAACTTATAACTTTTTTGTGCTACCCTGTATACAACAACTGACCGTAAAATCTTATTTTCTCGTATTTTCACAACAAAAAAGGTTTACTTGTTATAAATATCTAAAGATAATAGTTTTCGACATATTTGTTTTTAAAAGTACCAATGCATTATTTGTACCATGATGATAAAGCATTTTTATAACATAATAATCAAGTTGCTTTGGATAATATCTGAGTAGCGTTGCTATGGTTTCTAATGTTTGTTCCAATGTTTGTCATAATATTGCTTCAAACTTCATGAATAATTTCAAGTTGACATTAAGTTGTTAAACATCATGGAGTATACGTTTGATGACTATTCTGATATGTATTTAATGTACGGATTGGCAAGATGTAATACTTTAAAAGCACGAAGATTGCACGCTGACAGATTCCCTAATAGACACCTGCCTAATTCAAAGGCTTTCCAACGAATCGATCAGTGGTTACGAGTAACTGGTAAGAAATGATTATAGCCTTATTGTGAGTTGTAAAAACCATTTGGATTTCAAGTAGTTTAGCTCAAAATATGGGCCAACATAGTGGAGCTCCCAGAACTGTACTTACACCTGAAGTTGAAGAAAATGTTTTAGATACTGTCTTTGAAAATCCTACAGTAGGGGTTAGGAATATAGCTCAAGAATTTCAAGTTTCCAAATCTACATTAAATACCATTTTTCAAGAGCAACTGCTCCATCCATACCACCTGCAAAAAGTACATGGTTTAAGCGCTTATGATGAACCCGCAAGCGTAGCATTTTGTACATGGCTCTTAAGGAAGTTTAACCACGACAATGGTGTTACTTCGTTAATATTATTTTCGGACGAATCAGGATTTGGAAGGGATGGACCCATTAACTCGCATAATCTTCACATTTATGCGGGCGACAATCCTCATGCAATATTACAAACCCGCCACCAAGTACAATTTCAAATTAATTTATGGGCAGGAATAATTGGACAATATTTAATCATAGGACCCGTTGAATTACCACCTAGACTAACTGGCCAAAGGTATTTACAATTTCTTGAAGAACAATTACCACTCTGCTGGAAGATCTTCCATTACAAACACGCTGAATATGTGGTTTATGCACGACTGCGCTCCACCTCATTTTAGTATATTAATTAGAGAGAGCACCTAAATAGAGTTTATCCAGACCAGTTGTTAGGCCTGTATCGTGGCCGGCTAAATCACCAGATTTAAATCCTGTGGATTTCTTCTTCTGGGGTAATTTAAAACCACGCGTTTACAATACGCCAGTAGAAACTGTAGGTGATCTTCGACAAAGAATTTTCCATCATAGCCAGGAAATGAAAAATAACATCCAGATGCTTTGGACAGTGCAGCAAGGATTAGTTCGTCGAGCTCGAGAGTGTGCTAGACAAGGTGGTGCTCATTTTGAACCATCTTTGTAGTTATTATTTCCGTTTATTAGTTTTGTTGCCATCATTTGTTATTGTTAAAAACCATAGCAACGCTACTTAGATATTATCCAAAGCAACTTGATTATTATGTTATAAAAATGTTTTATCATGGTACAAATAATGCATTGGAACTTTTAAAAACTTCTAACAAGTAAACCTTTTTTGTTGTGGAAATACGAGAAAATAAGATTTTTCGGTCAGTTGTTGTATACAGGGTAGCACAAAATAGTGCTGTAAGTGGCGCCCTCTAGAAGTTTGACCATAAAAAATAACGGATTTTTGTTCCTCCTAATAGAAAACCTCCCTATACCGAGTTTCATACCAAAATCTGAAATACTTATCAAGCAATAAGGAAAAATAGAGAATAAATTTGTAACTTTGACATCCTGTATCTCGCAAACTATCAACTTTTGGACAAAGGTATGCTTATTGCTTAGGTCAATTCACATATTTTAGTCTCTAGTATCTCTAATTTTGAGATTTCCCAACCTTTCGCCGGCACCCTGTATACCCTATTTCACGAGTATCCATCACGCGTTGACGTCTACTGAGGTGAACAGCTGATCAGCAAGTGACATTTTTGTATTAGTCTGCGACGTTGGTAATAACGAATCGGGTGTAAATTTAACAAAACTTGTTTCTAGCGTTTTGTTTTTGAATGCAAATGAACTTTTCTAAATAAAAGAGCAGTTAGCAAGTACAAAATGAATCTGTAGCTTACAAAAAAACAAAACAAAATACGGCTCTGACTACCTGACGTTGACGGATCTGTCAGAATTATGTGTCTTGTGCCGATATGGGGAATTTTGAGATATTACTAGATAATCAGCTGTCATTCTAACGTGATGGATACTCGTGAAATAGTGTATAGAAGTTCTTGGTGGGAGTGCTTGTAAAATGATTACATGTTGAAAGAAACAGTTACTGACTGTTTGAATGCTTACCGTGACCATGTTAAAAAACTAAAAACTTATATTTTAGTTACATTCATAAATAAAATTCCAATGACTAGATGACAAAACGGTTATTTAAAAAGTGACCATTGTTCAAGTGGAACAGTATGGCTTCAGAAACTGCAGTGACACTGAATCCACTATAATTGATATGATAACCAAGATACAAAATAAAATGGATTATAATAAAATGTGTGAACTCTATCATTAGATGTAACCAAAGCCTTAGATAGTTTCAACCATTCCATACTACTAAATAAATTGTACGAAAGAGGTAGCATTTTGTACATGGCTCTTAAGGAAGTTTAACCACGACAATGGTGTTACTTCGTTAATATTATTTTCGGACGAATCAGGATTTGGAAGGGATGGACCCATTAACTCGCATAATCTTCACATTTATGCGGGCGACAATCCTCATGCAATATTACAAACCCGCCACCAAGTACAATTTCAAATTAATTTATGGGCAGGAATAATTGGACAATATTTAATCATAGGACCCGTTGAATTACCACCTAGACTAACTGGCCAAAGGTATTTACAATTTCTTGAAGAACAATTACCACTCTGCTGGAAGATCTTCCATTACAAACACGCTGAATATGTGGTTTATGCACGACTGCGCTCCACCTCATTTTAGTATATTAATTAGAGAGAGCACCTAAATAGAGTTTATCCAGACCAGTTGTTAGGCCTGTATCGTGGCCGGCTAAATCACCAGATTTAAATCCTGTGGATTTCTTCTTCTGGGGTAATTTAAAACCACGCGTTTACAATACGCCAGTAGAAACTGTAGGTGATCTTCGACAAAGAATTTTCCATCATAGCCAGGAAATGAAAAATAACATCCAGATGCTTTGGACAGTGCAGCAAGGATTAGTTCGTCGAGCTCGAGAGTGTGCTAGACAAGGTGGTGCTCATTTTGAACCATCTTTGTAGTTATTATTTCCGTTTATTAGTTTTGTTGCCATCCTCATTTGTTATTGTTAAAAACCATAGCAACGCTACTTAGATATTATCCAAAGCAACTTGATTATTATGTTATAAAAATGTTTTATCATGGTACAAATAATGCATTGGAACTTTTAAAAACTTCTAACAAGTAAACCTTTTTTGTTGTGGAAATACGAGAAAATAAGATTTTTCGGTCAGTTGTTGTATACAGGGTAGCACAAAATAGTGCTGTAAGTGGCGCCCTCTAGAAGTTTGACCATAAAAAATAACGGATTTTTGTTCCTCCTAATAGAAAACCTCCCTATACCGAGTTTCATACCAAAATCTGAAATACTTATCAAGCAATAAGGAAAAATAGAGAATAAATTTGTAACTTTGACATCCTGTATCTCGCAAACTATCAACTTTTGGACAAAGGTATGCTTATTGCTTAGGTCAATTCACATATTTTAGTCTCTAGTATCTCTAATTTTGAGATTTCCCAACCTTTCGCCGGCACCCTGTATACCCTATTTCACGAGTATCCATCACGCGTTGACGTCTACTGAGGTGAACAGCTGATCAGCAAGTGACATTTTTGTATTAGTCTGCGACGTTGGTAATAACGAATCGGGTGTAAATTTAACAAAACTTGTTTCTAGCGTTTTGTTTTTGAATGCAAAGAGCAGTTAGCAAGTACAAAATGAATCTGTAGCTTACAAAAAACCAAAACAAAATACGGCTCTGACTACCTGACGTTGACGGATCTGTCAGAATTATGTGTCTTGTGCCGATATGG